CTCCAACTCCCACCCCCTCCCCTCACCTCGCCCCCTCCCCTGCTCTCCGTGCTGTTGGGCGGCGGAGGGAGGATGGGGGAGAGGGGTAGGACAGAGCTGCGGGTCGCGGCGAGTGCCTCTGAGGTCGGGGCGACGCTCGCCTTCACGCGTTCCTCTGGGGCGGTCTCCGTCGCATCCCTCATCATGGCCCTGGTGGAAATGGCAAGCACGGAGGGCGCAAACATTCTGCGACTACCAGCGAATCCTTCCCCTGCGGATGCAATCGAAGCTGGTCGCAGACGTCCTCCAAATTCTAGCCCCCAGCGATTTGTTTCAGAAATGTGGCCTGCAGGGGTAGGGATCACATGTGCTTGCCTAGACATGTCCATGCCCGTTCTCCTCGTCCACTTGCCCCTCCTGCCCTTTTCGTGAGAGGGAGGTTCAGAAGGTAATGTGGGGGGTAATGGTCATGTATTCGCCCTCCACAAGGCGAAGCGGAATCAGCGGAAGACGTTCAAGTGCAACCCCATCCGGTGCTTGATCGCAATGATCTGGTGCTGGGTTCAGTCGATTGTCGAGGCGCTGTCGCGCTTCAGCCTGGTGGCCCACATGTTCCACGGCGGTAGCCTCACGGAGGCGGCCTACAAGACCACGGACATACTGAAGCGGCGCCTGAGCCAGGCGTGACCAGAATGTGATACCCAGATCTCTGATGATCTCGACGACTTAGTTTTCCTAATCAGATTTTATCGCTGATTTCAGCCACATACATGTGGGGCCCGTTATCGGGCCCCGTGGCCAGAAACAACGCTCCGCAGCGAGAAACTTTCCCTGGGGAAGGGGTCGGGGCCTCTGGAAGTGCCGCTTATGCCAGGCCTCGGAGATGAAGCAACGACCTGTAAATATATTTGTTTTGGCGCTCCGCGCGGGTTTCTCGGATCGGCGCTGGGGCCTTCCTGGCGGCGCCTCCAGCGCCGCCCCTGGCGCGCTCCGAGCGCCATGGAGGGGGGTCCAGCGCCGATCCAAGAAATCCAGACGGAGCTTCGAAAGTTTATATTTGTTGTTTGTTACATGTGTTCGTTCTAAGGCCGTCATCGCCGACAGCATCGTCCACAAGGAGATGACGCAGATCTCGATGCTCCTCGGCACCGCGATGGGATTTGCGGTTTGGGCCTACCTGGACAAGGAGGAAAACCTTGGGGTCTTTGCCGCGATCGGGCACGGGGCGCACGACATAGGTTCGGCATCACCCACCATGCTTGTGGTGTGCGTGTGTGTGTGTGTGTGTGTGTGTGTGTGTGTGTGTGTGTGTGTGTGTGTGTGAGTCGGCCTCCCAGGGGCGACGCGCGCTTCGAAATCTTGTGGCGTGTGCTCGGCGGCGGGCGGTGTCTGTCTATACCCCCTGGGTAGCGGTATACTCTGAAAGGTGTGTGTGTGTGTGTGGACTGCGTGTCTGGTCTGGACGTGCGCCCGCGAGGGGATCGTCTATGATTTGTATGTCCCTATGCGTCCCAGAGGTGGGAAAGGCGAGCAGTATATGATCATTGCGTTGATCCTCGTGATGCTGTTCTTTGTGCGCAACCCTCTTTTCACGATTGTCGTGGTGATCCTCATCAGCGCCAACTTCAGCATCACCGACAAGACGGTCAATTCCTTCAGCATCAGCATTTTCTTCGCGTCGATCTCCGCTATTATCTTCACATACTTTGCCCACGTGATCGCGTGCTCGTGCGACGTGATCTGCTACTCCTTCGCCATCGAGGCCGAAAAGGGGGAGCAACAGGAGCGCATGACTGAGCTCTACGACCTCTTTCGTCGCCAGGCCTTTCAGGCGGACGCCTCGCAGGCTATGCGCTACCCCGCCGAGGTGGAAGCGCCTGCCCATCATTCGGCCCGAGTCATTGCTTACCGCGCGCAGCCCTGAGCTGCAGCCGTGGCAGCGCCTCATCGCAGCACTGCCAGCGATGTGAGGGGGGTGGCCGTGGCCATAGCAGTGGGAATCGGGCTATCGTCAGTTTTGAGCAAAATCGAGGCCCGTGGGGGGGCAGCGCTCGAGACCCCCACGGGCGCCTCTAAGCATCTGGGCGCTCACCGCGGCGGCAAATTGCGACTGACCCCATCAGCAATCCAAAGAGGCCAAGTGACAACGTGCCGCGAGCTCCCGATTCGGATTTCGAAACACAGATGCACAACAAGATGCATCACGAGGACCCAAGAAACCTCCAAGAGCCCAAGGGCCTAAGGGCCCTCACCCTTGTCCCCATGCCCCGAAGAGCCTTCCAGGAGGCTCAACAGGGCCCAATACAACAACTCAGGCCCCCATGAGATTCCCGAACCAAGATCGGTGGCGGGTTGTTCCGAAGGCCATTAGATATGCAACGCATGCGTAGCCTAGCCCTCATCCTCCTTCTCCTGCTCATCCTAGTCGTACTCCTGATCATCCGTCGCTGTTTTCCCTCGCACCTACTATCCACCTCTGCTCCCCTGTCCTCTTGCGCTGCTCCTTTCCTGGATCGAGAGGGCCGACGCTCGGCCACGGGTTGTTCTGGCTCGCCAGCGGGCGGTCCCTGCCCGAGGCGCCCGCGCATCCCCGCGCAGGCACCGGGCCCAGAGGCAGGCCGCCAGGCAGGCCGCCAGGCAGGCCCCCAGGAGGCGTCCTCGCAGCCCTCACGCGAGGATGTGCCTCATGGCCTATGGGGCGGTGGGGGGGAAGGTGCGGAGGCCAGATCGATTATCCTCAGGGCGTGTGTTAGCCCAAACGTGTGTCTACCCCGTTCGGCTCCGCCGATATTTAACCGCCCGCATCGTGTTGGAGTGCCTCAGTGGACAAACACACGTCGGTGCTGACGCACGTTCTGAGGATCATCGATCAGAAGAGGAACAGATACCGATGCCGCTACTTGTCCCTCGTGGTTTCGGCTGGATTCGCTTCGAAATCTCATCAGAACGCACCACTGGAAAGGTCCGCGGAGTTGCGGCATCGGCATCTGCTTTTCGGTTCCCCCAGGAGGCGGAGGGAAGGAGGGAGGCTGGAGGCAGGAACGAAGAGCGGGGAGAGATGCAGGATAGAAACAGGGAGGATGGGGGAAGGGCGTGGCGAGGTGGAGGGCTGAAGGAGGAGGGGAAGGGACGACGGAGGCATCGAGTGGATGAAGGAGGAGGATGGGCGGAGGGCTGGAGGCATAGAGTGGATGGAGGGGAGGAGGATGAGGTAATGGAGGGCTTCCATCCCCTCTTCCTTCTCTCTCCATCCTGGTGTCTCCTCCCTCCCTCCCTCCCTCCTCCACCTCCTCCTCCTCCTCCTCCTCCTCCTCCTCCTCCTCCTCCTCCTCCTCTTTCCACTCATCCCTCATCCTTCTTCTCACCCTCATCCTTCTCCTCACTCCCTCCCTCCCTCCCCTCGTCCTTCCACGATACTTTCTCCCGTTGCATTTGACATTGGTTGGCCCACCTTGCCAAGCGCCTTGCGGGCCTTCTCGTCCTCCTGGACCACGGCCTTGAACTCCCACGGGAACTTTGGCCTGGTCAGGGGCTCCAGCTCGAGCGGGGCGAACTCCCCGTCGGTGCCCGCAGCCGCCGCCGGGACCCCCTCCTCGCTCTTCCGCTGCTGAATCGCCAAGAGCTCCGCCCTCGGCCTGATCATCAAGAAGCTGCGGTCCAGCATCACGGCGCCGCCGTCCACCCCAGGCACGTCCTTGATCACCTGCGTGTACGTGCCCACCTTCATGGTCATGGTGTCCTCCTCATGCGCCTTGTCCGCCACGACTGGCACGCTCCAGGCGGGGACGCTGATGGTGCTGCGGGGGTCCTTGAAGTTAACGTTCGGCACGATGAAGATGTTGAGCTCCTGCTGCTCAATGTGCACGCGGCCTGCTGCGACGCGAGCTCCATCTCCAACGAAGGCGCCAGGGTATATCACCACCCTGCCTGCGAAATGAAGCTTGAGCTTCTCCTCCATGGACCCGCATGCATCACGCGTCCTGTCGAAGTAGAGCTTCACTCCGCCACCGGGCCTACCAGCTGACATCTGGGAGGACGGGCACACCAGGAAGTCAAGGCCCACATCGAGGAGAGAGATCGGCTTCGCGTGCTGCTCCTTCTCATCGTTCTCGTCGTTCTCGTCCTCGACGACCACCTCCACCTTCTCGGCCGCGGTCTCCACCGCGGCGTCCTCATCCCTCGCTGCAATCACCGCAGGCTCGGTCTTCCCTGCGACCCTCGTCTTGGGCTTCTTCGGCGTCGGCGGCACCGCGGCGGCATCGTCACCGCCGTTGGAGCCGCCCACTGGTTTGGTAATGGCAGGCCCGCAACCGAACAGCCACTCCTCCATGATGGCATGCGTCAGGTAGCGGCTCGCCTCGTCGCACTTCCACAGGCGGCGCGACATGTCACAAGCCCCCATACCCTTGAAGAGGATGAAGTATTCCTTGCCGTTGATCTCTACCTGAGTGCACTGTTCCAAGGCCACAACCACTGTGTTCTGAGGCTGCGCGGACGTCGTCTCGGCCGTCTCGGCGCCAGCATTGTCGGCATTGTCACCGCGCGGGCTGGACTCAGCATCTGGAGCGGTCAGGGGCAGGGCCACGGCAGAGGCTTTCCTCCGAAGCGCGTCGGCGCCTTCCTCGAAACCCAGGCAGAATAAGCTTTTCCATGTTTGCAGCGCCGCAAGCTCTTGGGCATCCATCCGTCGGAGCCGCTCCTGAAGCAATAACTGCATAACCATTGACTTGACCAAGGTATCAACACCTTCGGGCACTGCGCCAGGGAACTCAACCTGCAGTGCCTTCACGATGTCGGCCTTCTTCATGCACTCGATCTTGGACTTGACCTGCGCTTCGCGGCTCCTTTGGGCGGTGGCGAAATCACTGCCTCTCGACCTCCAATCGTCCTTGTCGTCCCCCTCCATATTCCTGCTCCCTCCTCTCCCTCCTCCGCATCATCATCTTCTCCTCCCCGGGCTCCTCCCCCTCCTTCTAATACTCCTCCTCCGCTCCCCCCCCGTGGGATTAAAACGCCACCGCGGTCCGCAACATTGCAACGACGGGCTTCTTCACCACTCGGCCCTTCAAGATTTCGGCAATCTCGAACACCCTGAGCCACAATGCCTCGCTGGAGGGGTTCCCGTTCTCTACGCTATTGTACCCGAAAATGTCGGCCTCCACGGCGGCCCCGAATTCGATCCCATTGATGATGTACTGCTTGATGGGCTCGCTGCCGAACTGCGCGTTCTCTGCAATCAGCTTCAATGCCTTCTGAATGTAGAGGAACCTCGTGCGGTGGGTAGCCACGACGTCGGATTGGTCAGCCCAGAGCTCAGCCACCCATTGGGCCAAGGAGGCGTCGACCGACTGGAGCCGGATGGTCAGCATGGTACTCTCCTTGTCAACTTTGCGCTTCTCATCGACCCATGCATTTTTGTCCTCGGAGGGCGAAACCAAACACGACGGCCGACCCCCAAACACAAGACAACCGACCAGGGGGGGCAGAAACGAAAGCACCCCAGGACCCAACACTTTCGAAAGGTGTTTAAGCTTAGAGGCGCCATGTTTGATGACGCCCAGTCCTTGTCATCACTTATCTGATCGAGCAACGTCAGAATGTAACCAGACATCCGATACAAGCAAGACGGCGTATGCATATCCAGAACTTTGAAATCATCCGAGACAATAGTTCGACATGTTGCCTGCAGATCGTCTCCTGGGTACACCCTGCCCTTCGAGCGCAAGAGAGTCGAGCTGATCCTGGTCACGACAACGTGTGTCTGCTCGAGGTACGTCAGGTTCTGCAAGGGAGGGTTGTCGGTGAGGAAGTCGGCGACCAGCTTCTTAGTCCTCGTCCGATTCTTGCCGTCGCTGCCGATTGCCATGTTGAGCGAGGCCAAACATGAAGCCATATCAACATCATCTTGATGTGTCGACGCCACACCATCTTTTGCACAGTCGTTTTTATCATCACCCTCGGGTTTGGGCTTCTCCACGAGCTCGCTGTGCACGTCGTAAATGTGATCCATGATGCGAGGGCGCAACATCTTCCACAGTGCGAAGTGTTCCTCCTCAGAGTCTCTGTCGCCGAACTGGAACACAACCTTCCCCTTGTCCGACTGGAGCTTCATCCCCAAGCGAACTCCGAACCTCACCATCCGGCGGAGTTCACCAGTATTCCAATGTGAACGGTCAATTTTCCGCACTGGGTGGACAATAAGCGTTCATCACGTCTTTCCAGGAATAGGGTCGAGTGCGGACTGTTCTCATTGGAGGCGGCTTGTGGGGGTGGTGTTGGGTTGTTTTGTTGTGGGTGCATGTAGGTGTGCGGGATTGGTGGTGGGTGTTCTGGTGGTTGTTTTTTGTTTTTTTTGGTTTATTTTTTGTTTTTTCTTTTTTTTTTTTGTTTTGTTTTTTTGTTCATTTTTTTGCTTTTGTTTTTTGTTTTGTTTTATTCTTTGCTTGTATTTTCTTGTTTTTTTATTTTGTTTTTTGTTGTCGTGTCTGTTCTTTTTGTTTATGTTGTTTTTTTTTTTTTTTTTCGAGTTGTTCTTGTTTTATTTTTTGGGTTTTTTGGGTTGTTATTTGTTGGTTTTTCTCGTTTTTGTGTTCCGCTTGCGTGCAATGTGCCACGGCATCTGGCGTGACGGCGGCCTTAGCAGACCCCTTCGGCTTAGCCTTGCCTTTTGCCTTCGGGTTCGCCACCGTCGTCAGCAGACGCTTGGCAGGGCTCGCGGACAACGCATCTTTGAAGATGGAAGAGTCGGCCATCGGAGTGGTCAGCTGCACCAGGCGCTTACAATCAGAAGTCTTCTGCAATATCCAGCGCACGTCGCGGTCCGGGTGGTTCACGTAGTCCACGTCAGTAGCAATCTCTTGCGCGACATCTGCCTCCCCATCGTCATCGTCATCCTTGGGCTGGGGCTCAAAGACGGTCGGCACCGCGTACTTGAGAACCTCGAACATCGCATCGCCAAAGGCCCCGTGGTAGCTGTCCTTGGCCAACACGTCCCCGATCTTGTCGAACACGAGGAACATGGCCTTCGGATTCATGCGACGCTCCTCGAACACCACGAACTCCCCCCACCAGTCCACCAGCCTGTCCCATATCTGCAAAGCGTCGCACCTCTTCTTGAATAAAGCTGCGCGCTTGAAATCCTCAAGCCCGTCGAACATCTCCCTGTAGTTCTCCTTGACGAATCTGTTGTACTTCGCCTCGAAGCCCTTGAAGCGGCTGCCGTTGCCATCGTCACCCTTGTTCCCGGAGCTGCCCGCATCTGCATCGTCCAGCTGCGCGTCATCGGCAGACCGTTTCTTAGCAGCATCTCGCTCATCCTTGAGGAACTTCACCCAGTACGCTGCAATCACTGGTGTAATCTCAAGCCTCTCGACGAAGGACGTGGAAGATCCCACTGCGACCATGGAGTTGCACTGGACCTTGATCCAGATCTGCGCGTCTACTGGGATCTGGGGGTTCAACAGCACGATGCGGGGCACCTGGCAGAAAAGTTAAGCTTCCTGTCCCCCCTTCAGGACTGCCCCCCACATCCACATCCCTCTCCCCGAGGAGCCCGAGGAGGGATGGGGATGGGTGGCCATGAGGGCGAGGAGGGGTGGACGGACACGATGACCATCAGGGACGTCGGGGTCACCACCCCTGGAGGTCGAAACCAACATGTTGTTGTAATGTGCGGCCCCATGGGCCCCAGGAGGAGCCCCCTTTCCCCACCTCCCCTCTCGGCCCCCTCACCCTCCATATTCATCTTTCTCCTCGTTCCTCTGACTCTGACTCGGCGCTCATTTAACCCTTGACCTCCATCCACCTCCTCCTTCTCCCCTCATCGCCCGACGGCCGACGTGCCCGCCCGCCCCGGGGGGGGGTTCTTAATTAGCTGGCAGGGGGAACCTGGTTCGCGATCAGCAGTCGGACCTGCTCGTTGGGCTGCTTCGTGTCCTCCACGTGCTGGATCATATCATAGCACGCTTCGATGAGCGTCGCCCCCCCCAGCACGTGGAGCTGCCATTTCCGCGGGTCCAGCTGGTCTGGGACGACCATGATGTCCCCTGCGCGGTCCCCCCAGTTCCAAAGGGGACCGAACTAGAACCAACCGGCGCGACCGGCGCGACCGGCGCGACCGGCACCGGCGCGACCAGCGCGATTGCGACCGGCGCGACCGGCGCGACCGGCGCAACCGGCGCGACCGGCACCGGCGCGACCGGCGCGACCGGCGCGACCGGCACCGGCGACTGGCGCGACCGGCGCGACCGGCGCGACCGGCGCACCCGGCGCGACCGGCGCGACCGGCGCGACCGGCACAACCGGCTCGACCGGCGCGACCGGCTCCGGCGCGACCGGCGCGACCGGCACGATCAGCACGACCGGCGCGACCGGCGCGACCGGCGCGCCCGGCGCGCCCGGTTGGGGGCCTCCGGGGGGCCTCTTGGGGCCATCTTGGGGCCTCTTGGTGCCTCCTGGGCGCGTCGGGGGGCCATCTTGGAGGGCATGGATCCAAGAAGAGGGGAGCTTTAATGAGCGCTGCTCCCTCGGAAGGGCAAAATGAGCCCAAAACCTTAGTAAAATCAATAATTTTGCCTTGACGGGAGGGGGGAGCTTGCATGAGCGCTGTTTTTTTTATTTTTTTGTTTTTTTTTTTGTTTTTGGTTTTGGTTTCTTTTGTTTTTTTTTTTACTTGTTTTTTTTTTTATTCTGGTTTTTTTGTTTTTTTTTTTTTCTTTTTTTTTTGTTTTTTTTTTTTTTTTTTACTTATATTTGTTTTTGTTTTTTTTCTTCTTTTAATTAGGTTCTTTTTTTTTTTTTTTCGTTTTTTTGTTTTTGGTTATTTTTTGTTTTGTTATCTTTTTTTTTTTTTTTTTTTTTTTTTTTTTCTTTGTTTTTTTTGTTTTTGTTTTAGTTTTTTGTTTTTATTTTTTTTTTTTTTTTCTTTTTGCTGCCCCTCAGAAGGGCCAAATGGAGCCAACACCGTAGTAAAATCAATGTTTTTGGCTTCAAGGAAGAGGAGGGTACCTTATCTCCGTCCCCCCGTCGGGGCCAGAATCCTCGTGAGGGGTGTCGTTTTTTAGCCCTCCGAGGAGTCGAAAAAGACCCCCCCGGCGACCCGCGGAACACCCCCTCCAGGCCCAGGGGGAGGGGGTAGGGGGAGGGGTAAACCCCTCCCCGTAGGGGAAGAAGGGGGGTTGAGGACAGAGAGAGCTCGCTGAACCACTCACGCCCAAAGGGCTGGTGGGATTTGAGGATGTCTCGAGCGAAACGCTGGTTTTTCAGAATTTGTTGAGGATGTCTCGAGCGAAACGCTTGTTTTGTGTTATAGATTGTCCTCTCCTGGGGGCCTGAATTCTGAGGATCTCTCAAGTGGATTCGTGCCCTGGTCTTGAGGATGCCTCGAGCGAGACGCTTGGTTTCACGCCTCCAGGTGGCCCAGACAGATAGATGTCTAGCATGAGGATTTGTTGAGGATGTCTCGAACCAGAGGCTTGTTTTCACGTGTCCAGGTCGCCCAGGCGGATGTCTAACATGAGCATTTGTTGAGGATGTCTCGAGCGAGACGCTTTGTTTGCACGTGTCCAGGTTGCCCAAGCGGATGTCTAGCATGAGGATGAGCTGACAACGTCTTGAGCGAAACGCGTGTTTTCACGTGTCCAGGTCGCCCAGGCACAGCACAGCCCTCGGCACGGTACATCAATATCGATACCCTTAGCATTGCAGCCTGGCATGTTGCCTGGCACGTTCCGCGGAGCGTCCCGTGGCGTGTCCCCCTGGCACGTCGCGCGGTGCACGTCCATTGGCACGTTCCGTAGCGCGTCCCCTTGGCACGTCCCACGGTGCGTGCCCATGGCACGTCCCCTGGCACGTCCCCTGGCGCGTCCCGTGGGACGTTCCGCGGCGCGTCCTCTTGGCATGTTCCCTCTGTCGATTAGTTCTGGGGCAGCTACCATCTGCTCAGGCAGCTCGAGCTTACGATCCAGATCAGTTCGGTGAGGACTCGGATGCCAGGGAGGACTCGATCCACAACGCTATATCTATATCTATAGAGAGAGAGAGAGAGAGAGAGAGAGAGAGAGAACACAATCGCGGCATGACGCATCGCAGTTCAGCACGGCCCAGCACAGCACAGCCGTCGGCACGGTACATCAATATCGATACACTCAACTATACACTTTGGCACGAGAGAGAGAGAGCACAATCGCGGCATGACGCATCGCAGTTCAGCACGGCCCAGCACAGCACAGCCGTCGGCACGGTACATCAATATCGATACACTCAACTATACACTTTGGCACGGTCCTTGGCGCGTTCCGTGGCGAGTCCACCTGGCACGTCGCGCGGCGCGTCCCATGGCACGTCCCTCGGCACGTCCATTGGCACGTTCCGTAGCGCGTCCCCTTGGCACGTCCCACGGTGCGTCCCCATGGCACGTCCCCTGGCACGTCGCCTGGCGCGTCCCTTGGGACGTTCCGCGGCGCGTCCTCTTGGCATGGTCCCTCTGTCGATTAATTCTGGGGCAGCTACCATCCTGAGCAGCTCGAGCTTACGCTCCAGATCAGTTCGGTGAGGACTCGGATGCCAGGGAGGACTCGATCCACAACGCTATATAGAAAACAATCGCGGCATGGCACATCGCAGTTCAGCACGGCGTAGCACAGCACAGCCCTCGGCACAGTACATCATCATCGATACATTTAGCATTGCATGTGCCCGTCGCCCAATCAGGTGTCTTTGAAATGTTACAATGCCTTACATTTCTATATTCCTTTCCGGGTTCGTGGGTCGATCATGTTCTACTGCGCTGTCCCAGCGCGTTGGGTTGCCACGAGGCAGATCCTGCAGGACCAAGATTCAGCTGCGCGTGAGAGCGACCCTTCGCCAAATTGACCTTTGGTGCGGGCCCACCAGGGCTCCCTCAGGCACTGGCCCACGCGCTTGGATCTGGCCCCCTCCCTCCCCCGCAGCCCCCCCCCCAAGCTGCACACCAAAGGTCACCCCTACCTGCAGGGCCACCCCTACCTGCAGGGCCACGCCCTCCGTGCCACCGAGAGCTCATGGCAGCGTCTCCTTTCCCGATCCGCCCCAGGTTCTCCAGACACACATACCGCTACCCTTGCCTCGTTTGCGCCTCGTTGGGCCTCCTGGGAGGCCCTCGTCGCCACCGCTGGATTCGCCTCGGGAGTCTGGTCAGAAGGCACCCCAGGAGAGGGCCATGAAGCATCGGTATCGATACCGTCTGGTGCCTCAAATATCTTGCATGCCTCGCCCTGATGAGATTGGTAAGAGCGGTTTTCACAATCGTTGGCCACGATATGTTGGGGGGTCACGGCATTGTTGTGAGGTGTACGTTGATTTACCTCTCTCCTTCTTGTTCTATCTTCGAGTCGGCGACTACGAGGCGTCGGCGACTACGATGCGTAGCTCGCGACGCACACATTCGAGATCCGATGTCAAAAAGGTTGCTCCTAATGTGGTTTCCTCGCTCTCGGCCCTCCTTTCCCCCTCCTACAGTCCTTATTGGGCCCGTTCGCGTTTGAATTTTGACGACGCCTCAGGCGGGTCTCCACGGGCATGCTCCCGCAGAAAGGCACTCGGGATTACACGCACGCCCGAGCTGCTCAAGCATGTCGTTTTCCCCGCCGCTGCGATCGCAGAAAGGCACCCGGGGTTGCACGCACACCCGGGCTGCTGACGCAGTTTTTCTGTTTACTCGACGCTTCCGCGCGCCATCCGCTGCAGGGCGGGGTGCGGCCGGGGTCTTTTCCAGCGCCTTCTGCATGCGACTTCCGCACGCAGTACCGCATCGTTTCCTCTTGCTCCTCCCGCGGCGGTGCGCGCCGGCGCAGCCGACGGGCCGGCCCGGCGATGCGTCGGCGACTACGAGGCGTAGCTCGCGACGCACACATTCGAGATCCGATGTCACAAAGGTTGCTCCTGATGTGGTATCCTCGCTCTCGGCCCTCCTTTCCCCCTCCTCCATTCCTGCCCCCGCGGCCTCTCGTGTTCTTCATTTTGACTAAGGCCGGCAGGAGTCTGCCCGGGCATCCCCCCCGCAGAAAGGCACGACATCACGACATCACGTCCTCATGACACCTCCCATGGGGCACCTACATGGCAAGTGCGATCTATGTGATGGTGTCGCAACCGACCTCACTTACACACTACACCACGCCGCACCGCACCGCACCGCACCGCACCACACCGCACCGCACACACACACGCACACACACACACACACACCACAACACACCACACCACACCACACACACGCACACACCACACCACACACCACGCCACACAACATCACGCCACATCGCACCGTACACCACACCACGCCACGCCACGCCACGAGATCATGACACCACCCACGGGACACGACGGGAGAGCGACATGACGACTGTGATGTCTGTGTTGATATCACAATCGACGCGCCGCTGGCGCAGCCGGCGCCGCTGGCGCAGCCGGCGCAGCCGGCTGCGCCAGCTGCGCCGGTCGCGCGCGGTCCGTGGCTGAAGTTGCTCTATTGGCTCTGTTTTGTCTACTTTATAATGTGTTATAATTTTGGGGAGTCCACCTGGCACGTCGCGCGGCGCGTCCCATGGCACGTCCCTCGGCCGTCATTGGCACGTTCCGTCAGCGCGTCCCCTTGGCACGTCCCGCGGTGCGTCCCCGTTGCACGTCCCTGGCACGTCGCCTGGCGCGTCCCTTGGGACGTTCCGCGGCGCGTCCTCCTGGCATGTCCCCCTGTCGATTAGTTCTGGGGCAGCTACCATCTGCTCAGGCAGCTCGAGCTTCAGATCCAGATCAATTCGGTCAGGACTCGGATGCCAAGAGGACTCGATCCACAACGCTATAGAGGCGAGAAACAATCGCGGCATGGCACATCGCAGTTCAGCACGGCGTAGCACAGCACAGCCCTCGGCACAGTACATCATCATCGATACTTTTAGCATTGCATGTGCCCGTCGCCCAATCAGGTGTCTTTGAAATGTTACAATGCCTTACATTTCTATTTTCCTTTCCGGGTTCGTGGGTCGATCATGTTCTACTGCGCTGTCCCAGCGCGTTGGGCTGCCACGAGGCAGATCCTGCAGGACCAAGATTCAGCTGCGCGTGAGAGCGACCCTTCGCCAAATTGACCTTGGGTGCGGGCCCACCAGGGCTCCCTCAGGCACTGGCCCACGCGCTTGGATCTGGCCCCCTCCCTCCCCCGCAGCCCCCCCCCCAAGCTGCACACCAAAGGTCACCCCTACCTGCAGGGCCACGCCCTCCGTGCCACCGAGAGCTCATGGCAGCGTCTCCTTTCCCGATCCGCCCCAGGTTTTCCAGACACACAT